GACACTTAAAGGAATTAGTGTGCAGTGTCTACTGTTTACTATAATAAACACTACACACACATGCTTATTGTTATTATTATTATTATATTATTATTACTACTACTCTGGCTTATTGAGACTAAATAATTGGTAATATCTTCTGAATATACAGAAAATAACAATCCAGATAACCATTTTTTAATGATTCAGTAATTTCTTGTTATATTTATCAGTATAACCACTGGTATACAGATACTGATGAAAGTGAATATTTGCTATACATAGTACCTTCAGTTAAGATGAAAGCAGCATAGAGGTATCACTGTACTAGATAATTCTAATTCTAAAGACTTTTATGGCTTTAGCATGTTAACACTTTCAATACAAATAAAAAAGTAAGCTCACCTATAAAAATCTTCAAAGTTGAGCTCAGCTTTTCCCTTTTTTCCAAAAAAATGTACAAGGAGTGTAGTATCTGTTACGAAACTTGTAATGTCATCAGCACGCTTAAAAAAATCACGATTTAAAGGTTAGCTGCAATAAAACAGAATAGGGATACCTAATATCCCTCAAAGAATTTTATCTACACAGAAATATGAAAAACATAAATATATTAACATTAGGATGAAAAGCATAAGGCTGTATTAATAAACGCCAGAGAAAATAGAAATATGAATAAGATCTATATCCTCAAAACATTTTAAAGATCCGATTATATTTTAGAAAGTTTTCAACCTCAAATTATGCTTATAGAATACCGATATTTTAAATTATAGTTGAACTCCTTTAGTAATCACGTAAATACTTTATTTTCATTTAAGTAATTTATAGTATGGATTTTCTTAATCACCCTGAAAAATCCATTCTTTTAGGATATTCAAAACAGGTAAATTCTTCACATGTATTGACTATATGAGGCTGACAAAAAATGGTCTCAAGCTTCATAAAATAACTTCCTTTAACTATAATACTTTTCTATGGTAGTCCATATTATGATACTTTAAATAGAAGACACTATATTTTGAGGAAAAAAACTACAGTAATATTACTTTGGAATTTCTATCTATAATTCTTTCAAATTCTTACGTTATTTTTTGAATAGATAAGAAATTAATTACAGAGGGTTTTCCTTACCCATTTCACTTAATAAACCTAGTTCCAACAAGTATATTCTTAAAATAGCTCATTTATAGTCCCTTTAAAGTTCAATGGCCTATGGAAAATCTTCCTCTTTTCCTTTTATGTAGCTTTATGGGGTTTTCTTTTCTTTTCCCCTCCTCCCTTACCTTGTGTTCCCTACCCTTCCTTCTTCAGTTGTCTATTAACTCATACCTATCTTTTAACTCAGGTACAATAAAATTTACATGATCGTAACTTATTAAAGAGGTTAAATAATCACTACCATTTTCTCTATTTAAAAAATAGCTGTAAATGTCCATCTTAAAGGTACATATTTAAAACGTATAACTTCTTGGCCAGAATGCTTATGTTAAGTACTCCATAGAAAACATAAGAAAGTATATACTTCTCTACAAAGAATCAGTTGTCTTACCCCTGTTCTATACACTAAATTTTGGTAATCCTTTGATTCCTCAGAGTCTTCTTCCCATTCTTTCATGACCTATTTCGTCCTTCATAACATTTACAGGATCTTTATTTCATTTCTCCTTAAACCAAATATTATTCTCTTCTAATGACTAGTATGAAATTATCCAGACTACATCTTCTGATTAGTCTTTTTCCCTCCAACATGCCCTCTTTTAATTCATGACACTTTTTGTAAAGTCATTTCTCTGCTACACTGATTACTCATGTCTCCCTGAAAAACTCCAACATGTAGGGTATCTTCTACTTTAAATTATCTAAAATTGTTGAAATTCTTAGTAGTCATCTAAATAATCTATATTTAAGTAATTTGATTTGGAGTTTTCTAAATAACCTCTAACATATAACCTCCTTATATCTGGTTTAGAATAGCTCCACTATTTCTCAGTTTAGTCTGCTGACAAGTTCCAAGTATTCTCAGGAGCTGGAATAACCAAGAAGTTCCCTGTAATATAACCAACTTCTTTGAAGATCTGATTGCTAGGGGGAAAATAACAGGCAGGAAGCCAGGTGTCACATACTATCTTTTAAATACACCCTTGAACAAGCCTATTACGGAGGTTGAGGAGTATTAGTGGTGCCAGCCTTTCAGGGCTCCATATATTACAGTACACCAGTGTAATTTTGAGTAGTGCTCAAAAGGCACTACTACCTTTGCCAGCAACTTTAGGTTGAGGAGGCAGACTGCTGTAATGGAAATAGGACAGGATTTAAAATCAGAAGACCTGGGTTCGCTGACTTTTTTGTCCTTCAGCTACCTTACCTGTAAAACGGGGATAACCTTATCTATAATAACAATTTTGAGGAAAAAATTAGAATATGAGTGCAAATGAAGTATGCAAATGTTCTTGTTGGTAGTCATAAGATGCTTCGAAAAAAACATAAGACCTTTGGGGAGTAAGATCTCTCATTTTAATTACAGACTTTTTTTTTCGTGAATGTAAACGATCAAGTCTAATCAGTTTATTATCCACGATTAAACAGCTTATACTAGTAGAGGAACAAAACATTTGAGAAGGCATGCCCAGATGGAGCATAAGAGTAGAGGCTCTAGCCAATAAGAAGTCAGCATGAAGAACTGGGTTATCCATCTGGATGCTAGAGGAATGAAATGTGGGAGAGAGACAAAATGGGTAAAAGGAGGTGGTAAAAGAGAGATGGTGTTTTAGAAAAAGTTGCTTACTTCACAGATTAGTGGTAGTGTGGTGAGCAAATAAGATGATGAGCTCCAGAGTCAGATTTCTGGCTTTGAATTCTGACTTTTTTTCCTTATCAGTTAAGTGACCTTGGGGAAGTTAATTTTTCTGAGGATATTATTGTCCTCAGTAATAACAGTACCTACTCTAAAGGGTTGTGTGAGCTATTAGGTAATACATCTGTAAATCACTTAGCACTATAACTAGCAAGTTGTAAACACCCAATACATGTTACGTATTATTATTTTTGCCAAATCAATATATTTCCAGAAGCTGAAAAAGGACCAGACAAGATAGAAAAGATAATGTTGAAGCTTAATGCAAAAAAATGTTTTTACGTGGCACACACTTTTACTTCATTTTTATTACTGAAACTACACATATATGTTAAATAGATGTGAAAAAAATGCCTTAAAATGAGAAGTTACAGGAACACCAAAAGTTAGTGAACTCAGGTAACACAATTATGAAATGTTTTCTCTAGTGTCGTGATGTCCTTTACCTCAAGATATAATACACGGAAATAAGATGGCTTTGTTTTACACAGGTTTTAAATAATGACCTCATTCAGCTAGTTTTTCTCATGCCTTGAGCAGAGCAGATCTTCATTTACAGTCTTTCATCATCAAAATCTTATTAGACTTAGGTTCACTTATCCAGATAATCCAGACTCACAGAGGCATAAGTAACAGTTTGACATTAGAGGGGAAAAAATTAGAAAATGAAAATGGTGAAGACTTTTCCCCTCCAGTGAAACGGAGCACTGTCGGGAGTCATTGAAAACTACACCACTGTCCTGGGTACCCTAACAGTGTTATATAACTTAAATCACAGCAGGGTTGAGACAAAAAAAGAGCCTTTATCCCTTTTGATTCTTGTGCTCATTGTTAAAATAAAATGAATTCAGGTGTTTTAATAACAAAGCGTGAAAAAGCACAAAAGAACCTCACAGGTCATTTACATGAAAGGCCATTATCTAACTTTGTTTTGATTAAAATTTACTTTAAATAGTTTCATTAGAAATAAAATAAACTAGTAAATTTGCATGAAATAAAAATATGTCAAACTATTAAAGAATTTTAAGGATAGTCTCAACACATTTTTATTGATTACAGTGTGATAATTTTATCAAGCTCTATTCAAGGACTAGAAGAAATCTTCAAACTCTTGATTTTTAGTGAAGGTTCTGAATAATCCTATGAAACTAAGGCCAAGTAAAGTTTAAAGCAAATAAAAAAAACTTTAATTTTATCTATAAAACTCAAAACAGTTTTTATAATTCTGGAACTCATAGGCTATATTCAACAGTTGTATAGGAGGCTTATATTTTATTATTATCTATTATTTTGGTTAGAAAGTGGTGTCAGTTATAGCATATTCAAATTTTCATTATAACATAGTTTTAGTATAATTGAAAAAATTTATTGTTAGAAACAGCCTTAGAGTAAGAATATGAGAGGCTATGTGCCCTACACATGGTGAAAACACAATGCAATATACAGATGATGTATTATAGAACTGTACATTTGAAACCTATATATATAATTTTATTGACCAATGTCACCTCAATAAATTTAATTTTAAAAAAAGAATATGAGGTTAATCTCAAATTTACCTACAATATTTACAGAGAAATGCTTTATCTCAATATTTACATTTTAAATATATAAGAAACAAAGAGATATAAATACAAATAGACTTCTATGCTTTCTTTTCGAACCAGCCTAAATCCTGAAATACTGATACTCTAAACAATGTTACACTGGCATCAGTAGTAACTTATAAGGAATTAGAATGAATTGTAACTTCACCACAGTTAATTTTCAATTATCCTCTCTAATGTAGGAGGGTAGTAACACAGATAATTTCCAAATAATTATTTTACTCTGGAATACAATATAAGTTTGTCTTCTTCTTTATCTTTTCTATCTTTTCCTCTCCATGAGATTTATTTTCATGATATTTGAGTCAATTCATTAATTAATTTAGCAGCTTAAGATTATACTGTGGATTGACTAAAGCCAATGGTATGCTAGTAAACTGGCTCTCCAAGGGGGAGAAAAGCCTGATTTGTAGTACTTGCTAATTTCTATGGTATTAATTCTTCTATCATGGTCCATTTCAAAGTACCAATGGGATGTCACAGAATGATGAGTTTGGAAGAGATGTGCAGAATTAATTAGCTCTGGGAAGCCATAAAAGCCAGCTCCAGTACACCTCTAGTAAGAGTGTTAAACATATTCAAAAGATCTTATAATCATATCATATAATCTTTGAGTGTATGTGAGAGCTGACTGGTCTTCTGATATTAAAGCTCCCAAGATTTAAATTAAATTCAATACCTAATGAGCAGGTTGTGTCTAACTGTGAGAATCTGTAGCAGAGTTAAATGAGATTAAAGGTAGGTTAGAGGCTGAGAAGTGGAAAGTTTAGTATGGGGAGAGACAACAGTGACGTGACTTAATTTGAAGCTAGGCCACTGTGGCTTGTAGGGCCTCTAAGAGTTAGTGTCCCCAGTTGCTCTTACTTTGTGCCTAAATAATCACAGAATTAAGCATTTCTAATGTGTGCCTGCATAAATTAGTACAGAATTAGGCACTTCTAAAATATCTGTAAATGGAACATCTATTACCGTAACTTTATGCCTACAAATAGTTCAAATTTAAAAGGTAATTTTAAATGGTTAATTACTCATCTTAATTACATCATATTTATATATCAAAGCCAGATTAGAGATAGGGAAAATGCTTTATATTTTGGGGGGATCTTAAAATTGAGCACAAAGTCAAAATTAACATTTCCAAGTGTTTGCCTAGTCTAGAGGTATCAATTGAGTCACACTGTATGTAGAGATAACAGACATTACATCTGATTCCAGTTTACTTCTCTAGATATTCTTAGGTATAATTTTTAAAAATCAAACTTTAGAAAAAGAAATGAGAAGCCAACTTTACAGAGAAAAAGATAATGAAAATATAACTCAGTGTTTACTGAAAAGTCATTTGCGGTAAGATTGATAGCCATCTCTAATAAAGTTCTTAAAATTCTTAATAGGAAACATAAAATAGTGTTTAATCTACAAGACATAGCCCATCTTCTAAAATGACAAATCACTAATCAGAGTGGGATGGTGGGAGCAGTCTGTCTATCTCAGTGCAGCAATAAGGTGCATGTCTCCATAAAATTCAAAAACAATAACAAATGGTTGAACTGCTTTTTTATTTTCCATGCACCAGCAATCCTAATCAATGTCAAGGTAAAACTTCCTCCCTTCCTGAGTGACTGCACCTACCACAACTGTTACACACCTTGCTCTTGGTAAATACTCACTATTAATATTAGGAAATTTAATTGTTTAAATCTACCATTACTCTAAAGCACTGGCTATCTTTTACCAAGTTAAAACTTTTACACTTCATATAACATTGCAAATTGTAAAGTTAAGAGATTCAGTGAAATTGTATACTAAAATACCATTTTCAAATTTTATAAAAGTGATCTTTAAGTAAAAAATAACAATATTTCCTTTTTATTGCATTGGAAAGTCATGTTTTCTATAAGCAAGTTGATTTAAAATAGACTATTATAGGTGATCTTGCAGCTCCTGCCAGCAGAGCTGACATATTCAATATACCATTTATATATAGAAATTATTGCTTTCCTGGATAAAAGAAAAAATATAAAATATATTTTTAGTTTCATCATTATGACTCTAAAATGAAATGAGTACTAGATCAACAAAATGGCAAATAATACAATGACCAGGTTGAGGTTTAATTATACCTCTGCGAGGTCTGAAAAGAGTGCTTGGCTTGTATTACGTCTCAGTGTATCCCAATAGCTTCTGGAGACAAGTTCTTCAGCATCTGTTTTTAGTACCTGTAGAAGTTTTAAGAAGCACAACTGAAATCCAAAGAATAGTCACAAAGAATGATAACTTATACACTTTAAATCTCTTCAAGCCAACCTTGAAAAGAAAACACATTAGCTTACCTTTTTTGTTTTCTGCTGCACACAACAGTATTATATTACACTGCTGGTAAACCCAGGGTATTTTCAAAGGTGTAATGGTATATAACCACTATTTCTAAGTACAATGTGGCTTTGTCAAAAAGAATCACCCCTCCCCCATGTCCTTCTACTGAAACATGCGTAACTTCTATGAAAGTGTGAAATAAAAATTTTATTCACACCTTAAGTGAAGTAAATTCATTGGTAGAAGATTTTGGTAATTTTGCAGCAACCTATAAAAAACATGCTTAATTTAAAAATGAATTATTGTTGGCTAGCATATATTTTGTTAGTGCATCAAAGACTCAAAATAATTATATCTACACTTTAGAGAAAGAAAACTTAAATTAATCCAAAACTTGTCAAAAAGAAATATGGCAGTTAACGTCAAACAACTCAAAGCTACTCAGGGATATGATATGAGTGTCCATTGTGAAGAGATAAGGTACTTTCTAATCTATTACAAGGACAGAATACTAGCTTCTACCTCAGACTAGTACTGGCTAGTCTGAAGAAGGTGACATCCAGATTAAGAACTGTAGTGTAATCTAGATATGAAAACATAGAAGTACAGGCTTAAGAGTTTATAAAGAGAGTCTATAAACTTACAAGTTTATAGAGACTTGGGTCTCTATAAACAAAAATAATTAAATGCAATTTCTGTCAGGATCTATCAGGCAAGATTTCACAGGTTCTCAGGCTTGGTGTTCTTTTGGTTAATGTGAGAAGAAAATGCTGCACTTTTTTTTTAGGAATAAGTGACTGATGATGAGAAAACTTTTATTTGTGTGTGGGTGTTAATTTTTAAAAGCCTAATGCCACTAATAAAATTATAATGCATATGAGAATTATTTCAAAGATCTAAGTTTTAAATCATTATTATTAACTATAAAACACTGCCCACTGCTCATATTTTAATAAAAGTTTTAAAATGTTAATAATATAGTATTATTTAGCAGAAATCACTTATATAACTCAGATATATTTCTTATTATAACTGAGTCACTCACCACCACCTTTGGTAACTAAACAAGCTTTAACTAAGCAGTTACGAGCTAAGTAAAATGAGCTGAATACAGAACTAACACGGTTCTTTTTCTTTTACATAGGTATGGTAGAACCTCAATAAATGGTAGCTAGATTAAATACTTGTTTGACAAATATTATCTCAATATTTTGAATGTGGATATATTTTTAAATTGTAACTTAGAAGGTAGTATATGATAAACAAAGGAATTATTAAACCTATCAAACTAGAAAATAAGGTGTATTACACTACTGTTAGGAGGGTTAACAGAAACTATTTGCTTTGTAAAGCCATACCTTTTCCTTACTTCCAAACACTGTCCCTCCCTTCCTCCCTCCCTATCTCTCTCACTCACTCACACACACACACACACTCACACTCACACTCACACACACACTGATGACACTGGAAAAATATTTACAACATAACTAAAGAAGAAAGGACAGAAATAAGAGGGAAAGTAAAGACAAAACAAAGAGGAAATAAAGAAGTCAGAGAAAAAGAAGACTAATTTAGAGGTGGGAATGTGTCACTGTGATAAGCAGAACAATGGCTCCCTAAAGTTGTTCATATCCAGACTGGCAAATACCCTAGATACAGTTAGGATCTGAGAAAGGTTATACTCAGAGAATAGGAAAACAAGGAAAAAAAAATAGCAGCATATATAATCAAACAGCAAACTGACTTTACTATTAGTAATATTTAAAAACAAATAAAGAAAAATAAAAACAAAAAGAGAAGAAGAAAACTCTATCTTGATAATTGATGCCACTATGACAACTGTGGCCTGAAATACGATAATCTGTAATACGAGAATTGTAATTTAAAGTTTCATGGAACTTCAGTTCCCCCCAGTGTATCATAGAAACACACACACACACACCCCTCTTCTGGAGAAAAACACACCCTTAACCTGGTCCTTAAAAATCCCTACAGATACACTCCCACAAACTATATGCTCACAATATAAATTACTAAGCACAAAAGAACATAAGTTACCATAAGTGAGAATCAGCAGAAACAATAAACAAAGCCAGACATGCAGACTTCAGATATTAAGTTTGAAGAATATGAAACTGTATTTGGAAGGATTGTTTAGGAAAAATAGACTACCAATAATTATTAGCCTGATTAGAGAAAGAATCAAATAAAGCTTCTAGAAATGAAAAATGGAACCACTAAAATTTAATATCATATTATACATAGCTAGAGAAAAAATTAGTGAATTGGAAGATAATATGAATAAATTATATAGAATACAATGTGAAAAGATAAAAAATATGGCTAATTATTAAAGAGAAGTTTAGAGACATAGAATAGAGCATGAAAATCTATGAAAGCTCCAGAAAGTAATAATAGAGAAAATGGGAAGAGACGATATTCAGAGAGTTTGGCAGTGAATATTCAAGAATGAATGAAAGAAAACAAACCTCATATTATTTGAGAAGTTAAAAAAATTTCATGGCAGATAAGAGTAAAAAGAGATATACTAGAATAAAACTATAAAGAGTATACTAGAAAAGAATACCAAAGGCAAAGAAAATCTTAAAAGTAGCTACAAAGAAAACAGATTACCTACAAAATAATAATAGATGCAGGGTTGACTTTTCAAGTTCAACAACAGAAGCCAAATGACTAGAATATCATAATTTGCTGTGAATGTCAACCTATAATATATATAGTAAAATTATCTTTCAAAATAAGGGTGTGTGTGTGTGTGTGTGTGTGTGTGTGTGTCTGTGTGTATATAAAATAATTATGTTGTACACCTGAAACTAATGTTATATGTCAATTATACCTCAATTTTTAAAAATAATAAAATTTAAAAAACTGAATTCATAGAAATATAACAGATTGGTGGTTGCCAGAGGAAGGTGTGTGTGTGGGGCGGGGGGTGGTGGCAGTTAGGAGTGGGGAAATGGGTGAAGATGGTTAAAAGGTACAAACTCCCAGTTATAAGGTAAATAAGTCCTGGGACTATAAGGTACAGCATGGTGACTGTAGTTAACAATACCATATTGTATACTGGAAGTTGCTAAGAGAATAGATCTTAAAAGTTCTCATCACAAGAAGAAAACTTTGTAATTATGTGAGGTGATAGTAAGTTAACTAAACTTACTGCGGTAATCATTTTGCAATATATACAAATATCAGGTTAAGCTGTACACCTCAAACTAATATAATATGTCAATTACAACTCAATAAAACTGAAGAAAAATAGGGCAAAATGAAGACATTTTTAGAGAGTTTTTAAAAATAATTTACCTGAAGACCCTTACTTGAGGATATACTTTGTGAGAATAAGATTATGAAATCTAGGAAGGGGTAAGATTAACAAAGGGATTAATGAGTAAAGAATAGCAAATATGTAAATAATTCTAAATAAACACTGATGGTATATATTTAGAAGTCTAATTTGTGGATTAAAAAAAAAAGACAAAGGTAAACATTGTGAAATTTCAAGTACCCATGCCAGGAGGGGAATAAAAGATATTAAAGCACTGTAATACCCTATTTTTAAGGAAGAGAGTAAAGATATGGCCTAATCTAAGATTTTATTCTCTTAAGTATATTTATTGAAATTTCAAGACTAACTACCTGGAGAATAGAAATATAATGAATGTCTTCTAAACTAATAAAGAGGAAAATAAAAAGAGGAAGAATAAGCTTCAATTAATTCAAAAGAAAGTAAGAAGTATATAGAGTGGCTAAAATAAATCCAAATAAATAAGTAATCACAATAGTGTAAATTGACTGAATTTTCCAATTAAAAAGTATAGATTATCAACCCAAATAAAAAGGAACCAATAAAATACACAAAACATGCTTTTAAAAAAGACACACCTAAAATATAAGGAGAGAAAGATGTTGGAAAAGATGTACTAGGCTTCCTTTAATGACAGGCTAGTAAATAGCAGCAATCTTCTCATTGAGAATAACTGAAAAAGCTGGATAAAATATAAAACAGACATGTCTTTAGAAGCATCTGAAAGACACAATTTGCCTTTGGTACTGTGTTGACAGTTGCACTAACAGTGTAAAAGCAACGGTGGGTAAAATTGCTGAAGCCCTAGTATAATGACAGCAATTGGCCACTGCATCCTTCAGAAGTCATTACATTCTTCAGTTCCATATACCCACACTAGAAAAACAAAGTTTCACTTAAGAGTGTACTTGAAGAATAAACTTATAATTTTGTTTAAATTGATCGTTGAGCACACATCTTTTTAATATTCATGTAATGAAACTGGAAGTATGCATAAGGCATTTCTCCTGCCTACTGAAGTAATACAGTTGTCTTTAGAAAAAGCATTTGTGTGATGGTTTGTGTTGCAACGTGAAGTAGTCCTTCTTTTCACGATCAATCATTTTTTCATGAAAGAACAACTAATAGAGAAACTATGGTTGTTCAGACTTTGGTATTTGGCAGACATTTTTTTGAAAATGAACCAAAAGAGCCTGTCACTCCAAGGGAAACAACGGATAACATTTGTTGCCAAAGTAACATACTGCAGCAGATTGGACGCAGAAGTGTCTATGAGAAACCTGCTGTCATCCAGTAAGCCAGGCATTAAAGAGATTTGCAAAGGATATAAAATAGCGCTCTCCTCACTATTTTTAAAGTTATTTTTCATAAAAAATGTTTAACATGTGAATTTTATTATTTTAAAAATGGATTAAGTATTTTTAAATGTTTTAGTTTTAATTTATAATATGGTAAATATATAGATAACCAACACGAAAACAACACAAACAAGGGCTCTTTTGAGTCCTCAACAATTTTTAAAAATATAAAGCGGTTCTGAGACCAAAATGTTTGTAAACTGCTACTTACAGCAATAAGAGTGAATAAACTAGGACTAGATACAACAATAAAAATGAAATTGATAATCATGATGTTGAGTCAAAGAAGCAAAACACAGAAAAACTCATATAATATGATCCCATTTATATAAAGTACAAAAATGGGTAAAACTATACTGTTTATGATGCATAAATAGGTTAAAACCACAAAACAAAGAATTTACATAATTTCTGAACTAAAAATATATTTTAAAAATCAGAGAAAGTTTCATCATAACTAGAGAAAAAAACAGAAAATAAAAAAATGAAATAGAGAAATAACACAAAATATTAATAAAAATAAGTGATATATTTATTCTAACAACAATAGATTTTAAGGCAAAAAACATTTCTAGAGATCTAGAGATAATGTATAATAGAAGATTCAATTCACTAAAAAGATATAAGTAGTTTACAATCTTAAATAGGTAAAAACAATGCTTCAAAATATATAAAATACAAAAATAACAGAATTACAAGTAGATATTGACAAGTCTATCACTGTAATAATTTAACATACTAATTGACAGATCAAGCAGACAAATCATTAGTAATGAGAGTTGTAAAACACAATTAACATGTTTGATCATATATATATATATCTTGATACACATTATCTATCTTAAAAATATAACCCTGCACCCCAAATTGGAGAATATATAAATTTTCAAACACATATCTTTTATGAATGTCAGCATTGTTTTAGTTCATAAAACAGCTCTCAATATGTCAAAAAACTGTATAAAAATTGGTACATTTCTGACAATGGAAAAAGGTTAAGATAATTTTTAAAAACTTTGCAAAGTCACATAAGGCCAAAATCAAATATAATTGACTTCTGCATTATTTATTCTTTTGAATGTTTTATATTTCTTTTCATTACTGTAGTAAGATAATCAAGAGTTGGCTATATGAGAAACAAGGAAAATTCAAGGTTTGGAACAGAAAAGGTTATTAAGTAACTATCTTCATGAATACTGAAGCAAGAAATGCAGCAAGAAATAATCTGACAGAATACAGGCAGAATCTATTGTAGGAATGATTAAATTTTGGAACAAGCCACTACAGAGGCCATAGAATCTCTTTCGCTATAGTAAAAGTCAAGAGGACTTCTGTCTTTACTGAGGAACTTCTTAAAGGTAGAATCTTAGGTTATACTTAGCTCCATGAATTGTACTCAAAATTAGATACTTTTTCACTCCAGTTAATCTACAAACCTAGAAACTAGCAGATAATTGCCAGTTAATGCATAACATTATACTAATATATTTGTGAAAAATATACATCAATGACATTTCATATACAGTTTTGGGCTGTCTGAATTTTTTCTAATTTTAAATGAAATTTCCTTGTTTGAAAATTATATATGAGTTTAAAGGAAAAATATGAATTGCCATAGTTGGAAAATAGCTCATATAATGACATATTAGAAAATAATAAAGTCATAAGTATTAACATTTAAGTTTTACAAGGCATATAGCATTATTTATAAAATTTTCATCATATACATTCTTACAAATTTTTGAAATGATTAATAGGAATCTTTTTAAAATTTGAAGAAAATAGTAGACTTTATTTAATGGAAAACAGTAGTGAATTTTGTAGATCAAATTTAAAGTATCTCATAAGAGATCAAAACAATTAGTCTGTCCTGTGGCTTCCCATGGACTTGGCTTATTCTCCAACCCGTTCTAGGTCCAAGCCTTGTGATTTGGCAAGATATCTTAGATTTATTTAATGCTAAATCAGCCTCCAGTGTATGTTCAAATCTAGAACTGAATTAGGTCTTATAGTTTGGTTTTATAATTTCGATTATACAACACAGGAGGCAGCACAGCTACTTTTAGAGTTGCATACTATAGCTGGAACACTTTCAGCAGAATAATACTGAGGCAGACACCCTGAATCCAAGGGCTCCTCTCAGTTGGAACCTGTATAATTTGAGAGATCCTTCTAAGCTTGGAGAAATAAGTGAACTGTGCATGTTCACATTCAAACAGGGGCCATGGCCTATTAGTTGTCTGTAGCTGGACTAACTAACCAACAAGCTCCAACCTTCTGGGAGAAAGCAAAGAAGAAAGCTTAGCATAAGAAGAGTACATTTGGAAGATCATTTGCAGGAAGTCCCAACTTTTTCAGGTAAGAAGAGCCTGAAAATCATAATCCTCTTTGAGAAATAACATGATACATTGATATATTAAACATATCAAGTGTCACCTTATACCAGACTTTTGTATAGACTACAGGCAGCAGGCAGGCATCAAAGTTTTAGAAAAAAATTGGTAGAAATACTGAAAACTAAGAAAATACCATCCATTAATATACTTCTTTATTAGATAGAGAAAAGAATGTATACCAGATGGATAGATCTAGTTCTTAAATACCGGTGTTCTGCAGAAGCATAACCTGAAAATCTGCTTCATGATTTGTATTTAACTCTTTAAATACTGCTTAAAAATATAAAACTTCAATTGTTTTACCAGAGTGTTTGGTTATTGTTCACTCGTGTTTTCCTTATTTTAATCTAAAGTTAAAGATATACAACTGCTCTGTAAATTTTAGGCCTCCCATAAATCTAGGAAGGAAATAAAAAAATTTGTCTTAGTTGTACCTTATTATATTCAATAAATTCATAAACATTTTCAAGAGCAGATGTAGCTTTACGTAAGGAAATAATATTATCAAGTATAACAGGTGAGACTATTTACATAAAAAACATTTAAAGTATTGTACATACACTATTAGTAGGTGAATGGTATCCATAAAGTTGAAGACGCTGACATAGAGCACAAAGGGCCAAATGAAGTGTCACATTTCAGAATGAACCCAAGTACAGCAAAAGGAAAAAAAAAAAAAAAAAAGACGACAAAATAATCAATTAGGAAGGGCAAATCATTATGCTACATTCTATATAGAGTACACACACAAGTGGGATAAATGTTAAAGATGAGTAGCAAAGTTTTTAAAATCTCATATAATTAAACATTAAATAAATCTGCTCATTTCAACCATTTTCACTGTAACTTTCTGATAGAGCTATTGCTTTCAGTAAAATATGTTCCTCCAAAGTATGCAGTTTTTAGACATGCTTCAGCAATTCTCTATGGGGAAGGGGAAAAACTGAGATGTAGCAGCATGCAATGGAAATGGTATGAGAGACCTGCAGTGGAATCTTGTTCTGCTCTTGTTAGTGCCATGACCTTAGGCAAGTCAATGAATGTCTCTAAAATTTTCTCATCTGTAAAACAGGTATGATACTTACCTGGGAGAAATGTAATGAGGACTAAATGGGAGTAAAATTTATAATGGCTATAGCAGAGAGCTTAGCACATAGTAAGTGTCCCAAGAAATGTTCATTACCTCTTTCCTTCTGAAGCAGTTTTATTTTGGTATGTAAATGTTTTTAAATTTACTTTTGATTTAATTTTGATTTGGGTATATATTCAGTTCAAAGTAGCTATGTTTGTAGGTTTTACAATGGCTAGCCTTTTTGAGTGTTTATCAAATTTCGCATAGTGTTAATAAGTGGCTACATGTTTTAGCTCATTTTAATCCCTATAACAATCACATGTGGTCATTACCCCTATTATCTCCACAAACAAATGAAGGGATTGAGGTATAGAGAGGTTAATGACCTTGCTCAAGGTCACTTAGGTAATGAATGGCAGAGCTGATATTCAAACCCTGAAAAATCTGGCTCCCAAGCCTGTGCTATACTGTCTCTCTAATATAATATCTATATTTTCACTATAAACTAAATTTCAATTGCTTCAAAACTCAAAAATTTCATCAGTTCATACTTGCAGTATTTTAAATGTGACAATTATTAACAATAAGTTACCACTAAGTGTCATTCTTATTCAACATAGCAAGAAATATTTGTAGAGAGCTATATTGTTGTAGAGTGCCAAGGATGTACTAAAGATTAATTCTGAACTGTTTTAAGGAATAGTTCTGATACATAAATTATATAAATGAGATTTCAAGAGCACTGATTAAACCATGTAAGATAAATACTTATGAGGTAACTGTGGAGGTCAATGATTTTAGTAGGCATTCCTTTATATAAAACAAGTTATATATTACTTATAAGTTATTTTTATCTGTTCTTTAAAACAAGTCCCCTTCCCTATATTTGCTAGGGAATATTTCCTTGATCTATAGGTGTATAAAGTCATACAATTTAGGGTATGCTGATATAATTTAGTCAAATATCCTATGAAATAATATGTATTTCATAATCTCAATACTTTACTTTTATTCATATAAATATATACTTCAAAAATCTATTGGGCTTGAATATGGCACCCATCTGCTATGGATAATCCATATTTTTTTAAAAACTAATACAAATCCTTATAATAATAATCTTTAGAATAATAAAAAATGTTGTAACTCTCTGGAGTTAATTATTTGAATTCCTGGTAGACTAATGCAAACCACTAATTTACGAATGAAACAACTATCATTCAGATGCCAACAAAATTCATCTTGTTTCTGCTATTTAAAGTATCACATGAAGAAATACGCAATAGTAGGTAAAAGTGCAAATTTTGGAGTTGGCCAGCCATGGGTTAAAATCTTGGCTTTGCCATTGGGTAGCTAATAATTTACTTAACCTTTCAAACTATCAGTGCCCTCATCTATAATTACAAATAATAAGAGAACTGTTGGGTAGATTAAATAAGAAAATGCATGCAAAGCATCTAGTTTAGTACATGATAGTAAGGTCTCAGTGCCAGTTTGTTATTTTTTATTATGTGAACCTAGGATATTGTCAGGCTAAAATACTTGGGACAAGCAAAAAGAAAACTAGTAGGAAAATGGAGTGAAATGTTGCTTAACTCTACTTTAGAATAAGATGAAAATATCACTCATCCTTGAAGAATCTATATTTTTTTAAGAATGCAACAAAACATACTATTTCCTTGTTTTTATTTCAACATTCATATTGTTATAGTACTACTAAATTCACTCGCGTGTATAATTAAAGTCTTTGCAATTCACCTTTAAATTTTTACATGCATAATGATCAGGATTAATCTATTATATATGATATACCCTTCAAATCTCACAGGTAACAACATGAGTAAAAATGATTTAATGAATATAATTATGGATACAGATGTTTAATATCAATATTTGATTTAAATATTGATATCAATGTATATAAATACTGAAGCAATTTTTCTACATAAGAACTTTAGAAAGTTTTCAAGGTAACAGCTCCAAAGTTACAAACTTTAATTGTTTTGCAACATGAATAAAGTAATTCTTATCTAGAAAACCCACCTGAAACCACTATAAATTATTCTTACCAGCATTGCATGCTTTTCTTCATCTCCTTTAGTTTCTCTCTTTTCATTTTTTTTCCTGAATATCTCTTGAAGCTGAAAAAGAAACCCATCAAGAATCAAATATCAAACGAGTAAATTCTAAAAACAAAGAAAATAGTTAGCTTAATCCACGAATAACATTTAAACTATTATAGATACATTTTTTGATACTAATTTTTTTCCTGAGAAAAATAGAAACATCCTTTGGTATTAGCAACCTATGGTTAACTGTACAAAATTATAGTTTTATTTTATCTATAAGGCACAAAGACATGGAGTCTGTGGCACACACTTATATTAACAAGGTCTAACTTTAGCATTTATGTTCAACTTTATATATATCTATACTCTCCTACTAAACAGAAAAGGGAAAGATGATATAAATAGCCATTTTATTTTCTATTTATCCTTTTAACAAGCCATTAAAAATCCCTCATAAAAACCTCATCAACAACTTATTTCTTCAGAGACTGGAACCCAGAAGAGAAACTATGAAATCATTCTTTTCCATGGTAGGAAAGAGAAGAAATAAAAAATTAAGAGATGAAGCCTCTTGAAGAATAAAGAACATTGGATAGAACTCAGGGTGTCTATGTTTGAGCCCATCTTCTGTTATACACTAATTTTATTGTGATGAAAAGGTCACTCAATCCTGTCTGGGCTCCAATTTGCTCACATATGAAATGAAGATGGACTAGATGATCTCTAAGGTCTTTTTTCAGGTAACTGAGCATTGTAGTGGGAGCACGGGCTCTGCACATATAATCCCTTGAGCAAGTTACTCTAATTATTTATTTTTATTTTTCAATTAGAGTTGACATTATTCGATATTATTTTATATTAGTTTCAGGTTTACAGCCTAGTGGTTAGACATTTACATAATTTACAAAGTGATTCCCCCAATTAGTCTAGTACCCACCTGGCATTGTATATAGTTATTAATATTATTTAAGGCTTGTTTTTCCACATCAGGAACGTGGAGATAATGCCTTACCTTATATGAAAATTTTTTTCTCCAGATTTATTGAGATATAATCGATAGGTCTTATAAGAAAGTTGTGCAGAGTAAATAGTATAAGGAATTACTCAGCACATTGCCTGTCACATAATAACTTCTCAATAAATATTAACTATTACTATATACGGTATTATTTCTTCTTTAAAGTCCCATTCTACACATGGAAGCCTAATCTACCTCTATTTAAAGTTTTCTGGCAAGGTCATTGTGTAATGTGAACAGTTATTTAAACTCTTCATTTTGTATGGCAGTAATTGACAGCCATATAAAGTGTATTACCTCCCAAAATATGCAATAACAATTAAAAATACAGTATAAAATATAAATAATTTATTAACACATAAATTTATTTCCACACTTTTTCTTAGTGAGTTTTTTAAGCAAAGGTTATTAATAATCACTTTATAAATAGGCACAAGAATGATAGATTTTAGACCTTTACAAATAACTTAGCCCAACTCTACCTTTTGCTTTCAGGAGCTCTTTGCTGTTTACAAACAAACAACAAGCAAAAGCAGCTTTCATAAGACTATAGAGTGAAAAGAAATAGAAGTTCTACATAAATGTTTTTACCTTCTATCTCCACAAACAGACAGTATTCCAAAAACAACTATACAATCAACTTCCAATGGACCAAGTTCCAAAAATCAGTCTTTAAGTCAGTAGGGTGGAACTCGGCAGTGTTGCCATAGAAAGTTTACTGAAAATCATTTAGATTACTAAGCCCATTATGAAAGTCCTAAAATATGTATACTATCATAACAAAACTATATTACAAACTAAATCTGCCCATTTAATGATGTTAGAAAGATATTTCTTTCATTGCAATAAAAACTGAAAACTCTCACCTCCCTGACATTTTGAAAATCACTAGAATGAGGACCCCTCATGGATCCAGCTCTAATGGCTGTGGCCAGGCAAGGGTTACATGGGTATTAAATTAAGTGGCATTAAATTAAGCCTTTTGATAGACACTAGTAATTAGTCTGCTTGCTTCCTTTTTAATGGATACAAATTAGATTTCGATAAGGATTTTTATCTCTTATCTTTCCTGCCATGGAAAAGAATGATTTCATAGTTTCTCTTCTGTGTTCCAGTTTCTGAAGAAAAAAACTAAGTTGTTGAAGAGGTTTTTCTGAGGGATTTTTAATGGCTTGTTACAATGGAAAAATAGAAAATAAAATGGCAATTTATATCACTTTTCCCTTTTCTTTTTACTAGGAGAGAACAGGTAAATATAGAGTTGAACATAAATACTAAAGTTGACCTTGTTAATGTAAGGAGTAAATTAATCTCTATTTTGGAGAAAAAAACAGAACAGGCATTTTGCCACAGAAGTAGATGCAGGATATATGGGTAAAGAGAAATAGAAAAATTCTGGAAGGTGGGGTGTGGATGATAAGATGAAAGAGCAGTTGATGATGTTGCCAGACCAGCTCCAACACTGGACTAGTCAGGTGAGAAAGATCAAAGGACAAATGCCTAAGAACAACCTTATTACTCCCACTTTAGATCAGCCTTTGGTCAAAGGCAGATGGGAATAGAAAAATGGGAACAAGATTGGAATACAAGGTAGTAATGAGTAAAAGAGAAAAGGAGGAATGAAAATCATAAACCCTAAAATGAGAAAGAAGGGAAGTTCCTGTGGCAAAGAGATGTGATTGAGTGGCTGATAAGATGGAGACTGAGTATTAACTGGAGATATATAACACCTCAGGACTGACTTATCCACCGAATGGAAAATATCTGACACATTTTAAACTTCCAGAAAAATGTATAAATGACTATAATTATCTTTTACACTGAATATGATTTATATTATACAATGTAAAAATTATTCATATCATATACTTCTTTATTGAATTATGGTGAAAGCATAAAATTTTCACTTTCTTCTACAAAAGTATTCCAAATAATGCAAAAACATAAAAATGTAAGTAAACAATATTTAATTATTGATAAAATGTAGCCTATAATATACATACCACCAAAAACTCCTTTTTATCCACCATCTCATTGCCATCAGTGTCAAACATGTTAAAAGCTATTCTAAAACCTGCATGTGGCTCTGCCAGAAAAGAAATAGGAAAAGTATTTATAAAATGGGAAAATGTATTAAAAGTACAAAATTCATATTAGTTGTAAACAGTTATTCAGACTGTACAGAAATACTTTCTTTAACCAAAAAATTAAAAGCAATGTTACCATTAGTTAAATATAATAAAAGCTAGTATAAATATAATAATATAAAATATAATAAAAGTATACATATTTTTGCTTCATATAATACCACTTAGTAACAATTGATAATATACTTTAAAAGTACTTGTATGATACTTGTCACATAGCATCAACAGTAAAATTTGACTTTCTTCTGAAAATAAATATGTTTTTCTTATCCAAAGTCGATCAGTTTGTTTAAAAGGATTATATCAACTCATCACATCTGAAATATTTTCAATATGTTCAACTACTAAGAGAAGGAAAAAAAATAAAAATATGACACCAATGAACCAGCCTAAATTATAATGGAAATGACCTATGAAAATAAATGTCAAGCACGAGAGAGTACATATTTGAGTTTAAACTCTTAGAGGCTTCAAAAACAGAACTACAAAAAGGGCTTGAATAACTAATTTCCAATTCCCCCAGAATGCAAGGAACAATTACTTTTCTGAGACAGACTTTCACACACTATGAACTGCTTTAATTTTATAAATTCTATCATGAAGTTCAATCCTTTTTCTCTTTTCACTTCTAAAAAATAAAGAAAACTTGGACAGAAGAAAACTTGGATGTGTCCTTCAAAGACGATCTCAGTGTACATGCATTTTTCAAAACCTCTGACTTACTCTTTCGAGATGACTGGTAAGAAATTTAAATGGGACCTCCCATAGATACACTAGCCACTACCTGTTGTGAAATCTTGAACCTAGCAAAAGAGAAGCATACGGACCTACTTTCTTAACCGGTAATAGCTGTCTCTGAAAATAAAGGAAACGGAAGCCAGTCTTTTATGCAAGTTCATTTCTTGCATGTATTTTAGGAATCTAAACTTACTTTCATTACTATTCACTTGAGAGAGAAATAAAAAGTTACACCACCTCTGAAAACCGAGTTTTAAGCTTTAAAAAGATCTTGAAAATACACATAGAAAAGAAGCCCTAACAAGTATTGTTTGGAAGGGAAAATAAAGTTAAAAAATAAAAAGTAAAGAGAAAACTATAGACAGGCAACATAGATTATCTAACCCACTTCCTGCCATTCCTCTTTTCACATTTTTCTTGGTTGGAAGCTAAACAACATCCATAATTTTAAATTCAAACTCCTAGAAGTTCCTAAGATGTGTCCCAAACTCCAAAAGTCACAGTATCCAAAGCCCTGACCTTCCATAGTAAGCAAAAACCACTATATGTGTTTTTTACAACACCCAATAAACCATACCCTGTCCACCTCAGCAAGTGGCTTTCTAAATCAGTTGTTTTATTCTAACCTACTAAGCCCCTGGGTTTATAACTTAGAATTTTGCGTCCAGAGTTGTTCTAGCGCACAAGATAACTTTTTAACAAGTCTCTGAGCCCTTCTTTGGCACCTACTACTCTATTTTCATAATAGCATTCATCATTGACTGGACTTGAATCATCACAGTTCTTGTTTCCATACATCTCCACAAATCCCCACAATTGGAAATTCCACTAGCGATACTCTTTCACTCATTCCTTTCTTCGTTCATTCATCAACTACTTTTTGAGAGGCTACCACATATCAGATACTGTTCTTGATATGGAAATGTACAAAAAAGCTAAAATCTCATGGACTGTGCATTCAAGTGTGGCAAGACAGACAGGAACATGTAAACCAATAAACAAATACTTTCATATAATTTAAGTGCTATAAAGAAAATAAAACATTGTAAAGTGCTAAAAAGGGGGAGAAAGGAGAGGGAGCTATTTTAGGGAGATCGGTCAAGGACTCTCTAAGTCTTCACATTTCAAAGAAAACCTGAATGATGTTTATTATCATGAGGATCTTGAGTAAAAGCACTGATAGCAGAGAGGGCAGAAAGCACAAATTCCTGAGGTGGGAATAAAAGAATAGAAAGGTCAGGTGGCTGGAGTACAATGAATTATATAGCACGTAAGTTCTGCCATTAAACGTAATAAAATTTAATTGAAAACCATATATTTCATAAGAATTGCTGCATATAAGAAGAAAATAACAAAACTGTTTTAGGATGTATGATGGGTATTCTGATGGACTCACTAGTTAAAAGACTCATTATTTTATGATAGTCTTGCAGAAAATGTGATTTGAACGAGTGTAGCAAGAAATTTACAAATCATTACATGTCCTGACCCTTAGGCTCTCATGTAGATGTAACCACAGGAATTGATGTGTGATATTAAATTTACAATTTATGAGCATTTTACTACTATATTGTAAGTCATAATAATATTTATGGTTTTGACTCAATATGCTTAGCATTTTCTGCAGGCATTTAGAGATGAATTTTCCAAAACGTTGATAAGCCTAAAGTGATTTTCAATAGTAAGAGAATCTAAGAAAGATCTGTTTTCCAAGATTCTGGTAAAAAAAAAAACTGCATTCAAAAATATATTTAATGAGTACACTTACTTGTTAAAATACATAAGAGAAAAAGATATTCTGTGTATGAAATTGCACCTAGAAGAAAAACGGCATTAGTTATGCTCTATATAAAGTATTACTTTCTTCATATTTATCAAGTAAAAATATTATTCTTATAATGGCAATAAATAATATTAATAAAGAATTGTTTTAAAGAATATGCTAAGTAATGTTTTAGATGAGACTAAATTGTTATTATAAAATCACAGCAAAAGAAGCCACAAAATTTACTGTTTCACACGCCTCTGTAGAAACCCATATAAAATTCCCATTAATGCTTCTAGATATGTTGACAAAAGATCTAATTATAATGTATACTTATAGCTGTAACTTTTAAACTTGTCGCTAGTTTTCAGTGTATGAATCTAACATAAATAAAAAGGTTGGAAATGGTTAACACTGTGTGTAAAGTGCTTAATTACTTCTTAGTAACGTTTGAATAAAAGATTTAGACATTCTTGCTTAGAATTTTGATTACTGTATTGAATTAAAAAAACAAAACCTTAAAGTTATTACTTTTCTGCTTTCAAGTTATCATTATTATTGATACATTTAATGTTTCTATTAAATGGAATCTAAAAAGTTTTAATTAAACAGGTTACACTTTCTGTATATTGTGACCTTAGTTCTCTGTAATCCCAGAATTATAAACTTTATAATATATTCTGTTACTCAAATTCTTGTTTTTGGACAAAATACCCCAATAAATGTCTTAATTTACTTTCCAAGAGGGTCCTGAGAAAATTAAAATCAGAAATAAACCAATAAACACTTATCCAGATTTCAGAAAATCCTGATGTTGGCAAAAGGGTATAAAAAATCCTTACGTAATCAGATTGTGAACTTTAAACCTCCCTTTTTTTTTTTACCTGATGGTCTTTGAGACTACTCTCTTAGTTACAGAACAAAGAGGAGTCACTGTCAGGCTGTTTGTCAGAAGACATGAAGAGAACGAGCAAGAAGGCCCTGAAAGCATTTCCTTCTGTTTATACTAGAATATTGTGACCTATAGACATAGTTCTGCTTGATTGCCATGAATGTTATGGGAGAAAGAGTCTGGAATGGTCAATGTATATAAAGATACAATACCTAGGTTCCATAGGGATCCCTCAAAAAAAAAAAGCGGGGGGAGGGGAAAGAGAGAGAGAGAGAGAGACAGAGAGAGAGACAGAGAAAGAAATAAAAGGAAAAGAGAAGAAAAGGAAAGAAAAGAAAAAAGAAAAGAAAGAAGTATAAAGGTAGAAGGAAAAACGGGAAATGGGCTGTCTCCACAATCCCATTTTACTGACTGTTCTGATTTGGTGGGACACATGAGAGATGCTGGTTGGTATAAAGAAGTTTAATAACGACTACACATCTTTTATTTGATAATGAATTCAAGATTTTGTTCTGTGAAGGATTTACTTAACAGTGAGAGCACTGGTCATGATTCTCATGGTAGGCACTTGTCTTTCGAACTAACTGGTTTTTGAGGTGGTGTAATTATATTATATAATGATATAATAAACTACAGATTCTTAATGCTTTCCAATTAAAAATAAGGAAAACTATTAGACTAACCCTTCAATTTATATAAGGCCACGTAGGGTGAAAAATAAAATAATAATAAATGCTAAGTATATAGTAATGTTGCAATTTTTAGAAAAAGAGGATACAAAGATGCCAACTAGATTTCTTTTGAAAATTCAATTTTAAAGAATTCTAAGGGAAATTCCTTAAAAGCATTATATTATTTAGTTTCCATATTATGATATACGACAGTTGCTATTATAACTAGGTCTATGTAATAAATGTTTTCATAAACCTTGCATACCAATTAACTTTTTGTAAAACTAAATAACATTTTCTTGCTGGGTAATATTTTCAGCAGATAAAAATTCATTTGAAAATTCATCTTCAATATCTCAAAAGATTTAGCTTTAAAATTCCTGTCACCTAATCTCTTTATAAAAAAGCAAGGCTCAGTTCCTGAGTTACAGTAGCAATATTTCAGGTGCTTAACTAAATAGCCACATTTGGCTAGTGGCTACCATGAGACAACACAGAAATACAACATGTCCACTACTGCAGATAGTTCTACTGAATAACACTGAAGAGATCATCTCCCTTGAAAAAAAATATGCATGTAATTTCAAGAGGATAAGAACAAAAATAAACCCAGGGCTTCCAGATTTAACTCTCCCCTTAACTATGAAGAATTTCTTCCATGAATTTATCTTTCTCAGATTATATTTGATATAAGTTATATTTTCTCATGAGAGGTATTAAGGAAACATATTTTTTTAATTCACTAATTTATCTAATCCTCCTGAGCTTTAAATTTTCCTGATCTTAGCATCTCACCCTAAGTTTTGAATGGCAACCTTTAGGACAACTTCCAGAAAAAAATTTCTAAGAGCTTCAAGAGACCTTAGCCCAGATTTTGCAAAGATTTTAAAACCTTAGTTATGAAAAGTCTAAAATAAAAGATAAAGTTTCTCCTTTCAGATTCCAGGAGAACTAGGTAGAAGCAATGAGAATTTCTAATTCTACTTTGATAAAATACATGGATTATAACTATTCATTTAAAGTATTTGTCTGCATGCTACAGTAAACACATTTTCAAACCAATATTGGTTAAAACTGATGAAAAAGAAAAAGATAAGTTTATGTAATTTAATATTTTTATTTCATGTTTTCATACATGAGAATACAAAAAGAATATTTCAAAGAAACATTCATTTTTAAGACTAATCTTAAAGATTTTGTTAATTAGTTTTGCTATAAATATGTACAAAAAGTACACTGCAAAAGAAAAACTGCAAAAAGAGCTGTATAATTTGAATGCAAGGAAATGTATTAACTGAGTTAAGTTAGATATATAGATAGATATAGATACTAGAGTAAGTTGAGAGGTGAATTTTGCCAGTTTATTTAAAAAAAAACACACACACACACACATTCATTAAGCAGCCAAAGACATAGCCAGTAAGTTTTTCATTTTGATTAAATTTAACAAAATCTATAATTCCCTGCAATTATGAACTCAGTATTTTTGAAAAACGTTTTCTGTGTAGATATAGCCTATATTTCACAATATGGTTAAAAATGGTTTTTTAAACTATAGAAGTTCACTTCATTGTAAAAAATTTATAGTATATAAATAATATACATAAAGTAAAATAAAAACCACTCTTAATTCCACTACCTATAAACAACCATTACTAATGATTTGGTGTTTTTCTCTGAAGCTTATTCTCTATGCAAACATACACACATGTAGTTGTCAAATTATTTTTAAGGAGGAAAATCTGTATATATAAACAGTATAAGTAATGTAGTGTAGTTAACTTACCTCTTTCCTTAAGATTTCGAAATAGCTTTGATGATCCTTTCCAAACTGGTGGTGTTTCTGAGAGCATTTGATTTAATTCCTATGACATAAAGTATCATAATACTGATTGACAGGTAAACCACTTACTTATAAAATAGATAAAAAATATTTAAATGCCTATGCAAAAAAATTCTCCACTTGGAAGACCTGAGATGTAGTTATTTTTATCCTATTTTATACCTGTGGTTCTCTCAACCACAAAACCTAGTATTTGTTCACAGTCCAAACATTAAAAAAATGATAAAGATGCCACATTAAATTCAATTAGAGCTACTAAAAATTTCAGATAAAGTTAAAAATTGGAATAACATATATATGATAATCAAATTAAGAAAAAACAGTGAATTTAAGTTAATAGCTTTCATGAAAGCGATTAGAAAAGGTGGATTTCCTAATTAAAGTCAGAGATGAATACCTGGTTTCACATACTGTCTTCTCTGTAGCCCCCTTGGTAGAAGAAGTAAATGGACAAAAGATTATATTAAGAAGGAATGAAGATTATTTTAATAGTGACTCAAAGAATGATGACATTAGATACAGTGGGAGCACAGGGATATTGAGTTATTATGGACATTGTTTCAATTTTCAACTTAAATATTCAGTAAAGAGCCAGACTTCAATTACTGATTAGCCAGCTATATTTTTTAAAATCAAACTATCATAGTTGGGGTGGAGAACCATTTTGGAAAATTTAAACATTTAAAACACTGCTCAGATACTATAAAGATTTTGAATTTATTGAATATACTGTGTTAAAAAATGAGTGAAAATTATAATTTGGTTAATTGTGAAGAAATTATTAAAAGATTTGGCAAGATAACTTAAAATAATTTAAAAATTAGTCTGCTAAGTAATACATTGAAAACAAAACAAAACAAAACAAAAAACCCTTCTAGAAACCAATTCTATTTCCAGATCTGCTTCTTGCTACTCAAAGTATGCTTGGTTCCCTAACAGCCCAGTCATCACCACCTGGGAGGTTGTTAAAAAAACAGAATCTAAGTTCCCATTTCAGACCTACTGAACCAGAATCTGTATTTTTAACAAGATCTCCAGGTGACTTTTATGCACATTAGAGTTTGAGAAGCACTTTGGAGAAACCTTTCCTGATGCAGTTGTACCTAAAAACATTCTACGACATTTAGAAACCATCTTTTTCATTACCAAGCATAGTTAGCAAGCAAATAAGAAATCCCTGGATGCCAAAGGCAGGAGAGGTATTTTTAGGGGATTTATAGACTCCCTGAAGCCATCTGTGAATCTTGGCTATCATTTCCTTCAGAGTGTTATCTCTGCACGGCAGGTAACAGATGCTGCTAGGTGATGGGTAGCAATGGCACAGGGGTAAAAATTCAGGTATGAATAATGAGAAGCTGGGATATTTATTCTTTAAACAGTAAACTTATAAATATCTTTGTTAGAGCAAGAGATGAAAAAACATTACACTTTACGCCATCTCTACTATATAAACATTAACTTCTCTTTCTCCATTTTAACTGTTTCCACGTATTCAACATAAATTCAGCTAGAGTTTAAGGCCAAAAAATTATAACTAGTTTTTATTGAGTGCCCTCTATGTGGTTGGCAATGCGCTAACACATCTCATTTCTTTCTAACAGACGATCTCCATTACGTATATTTTACTGAGTCTTAAAAAGGATAAGTAACTCACCCAAGTAAAACAACTAGTAAATGACTGACTCAAAGCAGCTTATTTCAGTAATAATTTTGTTTCTTCTGGTCTAGATCATCTAACCGACACAGTGATTTTCTCTGTCTTCTGTTAACTTTAACAACTTTTAAATTTTATTAAAATCTGCATTTCCACTCAGGCTGGGAACCACTCCCGGTGCCTGTCTTAGTAGTGTTGTATAATAAAGGCGATTAGCCTTTGTCCCAGGTTCCTGGGAGGGAGACTCTATATTCTTGGATCACACTTGACTTTATGATAAAGAGATGACTCAGGATGAGGGCTGATTATCAAAAATAACCACCATGTAATTAGAGGGATGGGGCTTTGAGCTAGGCTGACCTCTGAAGTGGGGGGAGGAGAGGGACTGGAGATTGAGTTCAATCGCATGGCCAATAAGCCAGTCAATCATAAATCCACGCAATGAAACCCCCAATAAAAACTCTGGACACCAAGCTCAGTGGAGCTTTCAGGTTGGTGAACACATTGATGTGCCAGGAAGGTGACACACCCTGATTCCATGGGGAGAGGACACAAAAGCTCTGTATTTGGGACCGTCCTATATTTTGCCCTATGTGTGTCTTCATTTGGCTGGTCCTGATTTGTGTATCTTATAATAGTTATAAACTGTAATTTTAAGTGTAGAAGGTTCCTGAGTTCTGAGTCAGTTGAGCAAATTATTAAAATAGAGAGGGAGTTGTGGGAACCGCCTGGATTTATAGCAGTGGATCAGAAGTGTTGGTGGCCTGGAGACCCTTGAAATTGCAGCTGGTATCTGAAATTAGGGCAGTCTTGTCACGGACTGGGCCCTTAAACCTGTGGAGTCTAACGATAACTGTGAGTGGTTAGTGTCAGAATTATATTGCAGTATTGCAAATAGGTAACAAATAAATATTTGCCAAATTAAATTCAGTTACCGAGAATTACAGTTGCCTTTTAAAGGATTTATATGATTTTCTTTAAATGAGTACAATTTTGTCTTATTACATAGTTAATACACATCTGTTATAAAAAAATTAATAGGTATAGAAAATAAAAACTAATTTTTTCACAGACAAATCACAATTAAGTTTTAAGATCCTTTTAGCCTAATTATCTAGCATATTTATACAGTATTTTATTATTGTTGCAGATATCAAATCATTCTAGATATTGTTAAGTAACTTAACCTTTACATTTAATATATGGGCATATTTTCCTGCCAAATATTCTTCACTTTCATTTTAATGGCTACACAGCAGCTGTCTATATCAGCAGTTCTTAAATGTAACTCTTTAAACTCTTAAAAACTATTATACAACCCAAATGCCCATCAACAGAAGACTGGATAAAGAAATTATGGTTCATATATACAATGGAATATTACTTAGCCATTAAAAAAATGAAATCCTACTATTTGCAGTGGCATCGATGGACCTAGAGGTTATTATGCTGAGCGAAATAAGTCAGACAGAGAAAGATAGATACCATATGATTTCACTTATATGCGGTATCTAAGGAACAAAAAGAACAAACTAATCAAAAATAGACTCACAAATATAGTGAACAATTTGGTGATGGACAGAGGGGAGGGGGGTTGGGAAATTGAGAGAATGGGGTGAACGGTTAAAAAAGTACAAATTAGTAATTGATAGCTGGGCACGAGAAGCATGGCAGAGGGAATGCAGTTACCATTAATATGATGGCTAGGTGGAGGGTCAGGGGAGGGAAGGAGGGAACAATTAGGGGGATTGTTTTATGAACATTATAGATGTCTAACCAATGTACTGTATACTTAAAACTAATTTAAATAAATTTATTTTTAAAAAACTATTATAGACCCCAAAGAGACATTGTTTATATGGGTCATATCTGTCAATATTTAATGTATGTAGAAATAGAAGTGATAAATTTTTAAAACACAAAAATACACAAGCACATATTCTATTAGCTATCAAGAGTGATGGTGTTACCAGTCATCATGAAGCCTCTGGAAAACTCCACTGTACACAGGTAAGAAAATGAGCGCAGTAAAACAAATGTCTTCTCAGTATTATTACGAAAATAGTTGTGACTTCACGAAACCCTAAAAAGGACTCTGCACTTTAAGTTATGCCAGGTCTGTATTATTGTGCAACCTGCTGTTCACTCAACTTTGTTTGGTAGGTCAATTCACGTTGATACACACAGCTCTATGTGTATACATTATTTATTTGAGCTCTGTATTACTGTATTTGTCCTTGATATACCTATTTCATAATTCTTTTATTCGTTTCTCTACTGGTTGACATTTATATTGTTCCTAAAATTTCTCTTTTTGTTATTATAATCGATGCTGCAGGAAATACATACATGACTCCTGGTATAAACATGCAAATGTTTCTCTAGTACACGTATATAGAAGCAGAATTTTTTATATGCACTTTCAACTTTATTAGATATTGCCAAATTTTTCTCAAAGGTGAATATACTAATTTACATTCTCACGTGGTTCCTTCTTGTTGTCCTTGTTAATTGATAGATTTCTATTAGATTTCTTCAAGGTGATCATCTGATGGGTGTGAAATAGTATTATATCATTGGTTTAATATGCATATTTCCAATTACTGGTGATGCTGAGCTCCTTTACATATATATATATACTGCCGCTTTAACTATGTTTGCCTATTTTTTTCTTATTGAACTGATTATCTTTTCTATATTGATTTGCAGTTTTATATAAGACACTTAAGTTTTTCTTTTAATATATTGCAAACATATTCTTGTATTTGTCATACATCTTTTAACATTGCTGACAATGTCTTTTGGTGTGACAAAGTTTCTGATATTTAGCTTAGTAAAATTTGCCAATAATTTCCTTTGAGTTTTGCTTTATGTGTCTTATCTAATAAAACCCCAGGCCCTTCATTTTGCTTCTAATATCTCAAAATTTTTGTCAAATATAGGAACTTAATCCGTCTGAAATTTGCTTTTGTATATGGTGGTCAGTTGGAAATCTAATTTTATTTGCCCCATGTTGGAAAACTATTGTTCTAATACCTGAAGGTCAGCCCTTTCTCCATTGATTTATATAGATCTTCCCATACATGCCTGAATCTGCTTCTGTATTCTGTAGTCTGTTACACTGATCTAAGTTTAAAAAATTCTTGCAAAGATACATTATTTTAATCATTATAGTTCTACTATTAATCTTAAAGTGAGACAGGCCCAACTGTTCTCATCTCAATTTTTTTCCCCTTCCTCTTTTACAGAATTGTTCTGAAAATTTTGAGCCCTTACTCTTCTAAATGAATCATCCATGAACATGATATATTTCTGCTTACTCATGTCTTTTTAAAAACATATAATAACATCTTGTACCTCTGTTAGGTACACTAAGTAATAATTTTGTTGCTATTGCAAAATATATCTTATTTAATGGTACAGTTTCAAACTGCTATTGCAGGAACATTTTATTAAATTTGGTTCACAGATGTTATATCTAGCAGCATTTGCTAAACTTTTATCAAATTTGAATAAATTTGAAATCTACATATTTTTACATTTTTCTCTCATATTGTTTGCTACTGTTCCAATCCTTAGAATCCTCACTTTTTTGCTTTTTTGGTCATACCACAAGTTACAGGATAAATTGTCTATCTCAAATTCACATTTGAGATAAATTGTCTATCTCAAATTCACATTTCAGTACCTCGGACTGTGACTGCATTTGGATATAGGGCCTTTAAAGAGGCAATTAAGGTTATTAATAGAGGCCATTATGGTGGGCCCTAATCCAAAAGAATGGTTTCCATATAAGAAGAGATTAGGACACAGACATGCACAGAGGAAAGATGTGAAGAAAACTGAGGGAAAAGATGGCCATCTACAAGACAAAGAGAGAGGCCTCAGAAGAAACCAACCCTGACAACACCTTGACCTTGGACATGCGACCTGAACTGTAAGAAAATAAATTTCTGTTGTTTAAGTCACCCAGATTGTGGTACTTGTTATAGCAGCCTGAGCAAATTAATGCACTACATTAGCTTACAACTGTCGGAAAAGAGTAAGCAGTAGTTGTGATGGCAGACTATTTGCATTACATCTAATTTTAAAGACAATGTCTCCAAAGTTTCACAAGTAAATATGATGTTTGCTATAGATTTTTGGAGAATTCTCTTTAACTGGTTAAAGAAGTTCCTTAGATTGCTATGCTAATACTATTTCCTCTTTTTATACTGAAGTTTATAATACATATAAAAGTATAAAAAGAATGTATGTAAAATTTAAAGTTAGAAATTGTTAAGAAATAGAAAATAATTAGTACTTTAGAAACCTCTTTGCACCCTCACTGATGATATTCCCCTCCATCTCCCCCAGAGATACTGTCTTGAATTTTTATCATTCCTTAGTGTTCCTACCTTCAATTTTGGACTTTATAATAAAGTTATACTTTATATTTTTTGAATTGCTTACTTTGTCATTACATTTCTGAGATTCATCTAGTTAAAGCACTGCTATAATTCATGGGTTTTTACTATTACATATTATTCACTGTATGAACATATCAAAACTTATTTGTCAGTTCTACTACTGATATTTTATCAGTCTTTTTGGCCATCATGAACATCTATGGACATTCTTGAGTACTTCTCCAGTATATATGAAAGTTTCTCTGAGTATATACACTAGTGAAATTACTGGATCACATGGCATTTTCAAGTCTAACTTTACTAGGTACCTATGCACATACTGTTGTAGAATTTAAACCCAGGAGCAGAACTGCCAGGTATAGGGTATGTGTATCTTATTTTAGCAGATACTGCCAAATTGTTTTCCAAAGTGGATATACCAATTTACATTCACATGAGTTACCAATGAACTCCGTCTTCAAATGGCATTTTACGTGACTTAATTTGCAGAAAAAATTATACACATCATGTTATATATATGTATATTTAACGAGAGAGAGAGGGAAGGAGGGAGGGAGGGAGGGAGAGAGAGAGGGACAGAGGGAGAGAGGAGGGGAGAGAGAGAGAGAGAGAGAGCGCGCGCGCAGGAATGTGTGTGCAAGAGAGTACATTTATATGTACACCAAGAGCTTTAACTTACCTGTTTGGAAAGTGATTTCCACGTTTTAGCAACTGTAATAAACAAACATAAAAGAATTAGACAATAAATATTTCATGCAATATATATCAAATTCAGTTACTATTATAACCATAGTTCATAACACCAAGCTTTTATATCTAAAAAACAAAATTTCTTTAACCACAAGATTTGGATCTATGATATGACTTTATCTATGTTATGTATTTGCTTCATGTACTATAAACTATTTATAATAAATAATGTAAGTGGAATAGAAAACATATTTTCCATAATCATTATCGTACTTTAGGTATTTCTGGATTTACAAAGTTAGTTAATTTATTCCATGTCAAATATCCTATCAGTTTTAAAACACAAATAATGATTATTTATTAAATATTCATACTAGAATATACACTATTAACATAAAAATATAATTTTAAGGTGTTAGCCATGATCTCTGATATATCAGTATTTCTGATTAAATTTCAAAGGTCCTGTCTTTCGAGGGTGAATGTAAAGGATAGGGGCAAAGGGAAAAATTTAAGAAAAATGAAGAAGAAAGCAAGCAATGTGAGATTGAGAGTCACATCCTGTTTTCTATTCTTTTCCTCTAAGAATGTTATAGTTGAATAAAATACCAGGGATCATTTTCTTTTACTGATTCTTCTTCACATCACTGAAGATCTCGAAAACTATAAATCTATAATATTGAAATAAATGTGAATCTTATTGCTATTTCCTTTGCTCAGATTTGAGTACTGTGAATATTTAATGACTGCCCAAGAATTATCTCCAGGTTTATATGTGATTAAGTACTTTAATGCAGGTACATTAGGAACTGGTAAATAATTATTTCAGCTACAATATAATAATGACAACCAATAATATTTCTACATAGCAATGTGGTTATTTCTGTATAGGTAACCATAGTTAATGTAAATAATATATCAAATTCAACATTATAATATAGGCATTTTTTGCTATGTAACTCTTTTTAAAGCAATATGTCATTTTAAGATCAAAAAGGAAGAAATATGTTCTAAAATTTAGCAAACTGATTGTTTTGTGCAGATAGATTTCTTCTTTTTGTAGCAACAACATCCTTTCTTTACCCATGACAGTTTTTATGCAAACATGTAATCAGTGATTAAAACCACAGGTCTATAAAGTAGAATTCAGCATTTAACCTTAATTATGATACTATATACATTCATTTTTAAAGATATCTCTTTTTTATAATGAACAGAACAATGTAAATAATATTTATTATTCTGTTCCTCTTGAAATATTAGCAGTGAGAAAAGAAGAAAAATAAATGGTACAAAAGTACATGCACATGCTCTTATGCAATGTTCAGAGCTATTTATCAAAAGAGGAAGTTAGACACACTCTTGAGTTTTGTAGGGTTTATGAGATTTCCAGGGTAAATTATTCACAGAAGACATATTCATTCTGCCGGATATGTAACCATGTTCAATATTATTAGCTTTTTTTTTTTTTATAAAGACTAAAGAGCCATTAAGATTGTTCTTCAAAGGATTTTCTGATTTTCTAAGTTCCTTATTTCATATGAAGTTACTGCATATATAAATATAACTTGGATGAAGAGGGACTTCAATTCTATTGGATATATTTTATTTCTTAAGCTCTAGGTTGATTTTCTTTATATTTTTAATATTTTTATGTATGTCTGAAATTTTTCAATAGTACATTTTTTAAATTAAAATTAAAATAATATTTAAAGCTATATGAAAATAATTACTTATTTTAGTTCTAGAAGGGAAATTCACCTTTAAGGTTCTACTTAAGTAGGTAAAATAAGAAATTTTGTCAATTTCAAATACAAAGTTAGAGTGGACAATCAGATGTGTATCTCTATATTTATCTGAATTATAATCATTAAGAAAATGTTAACACAGCATATACTATTTTTTCTTGTTGATGTTACCATAAAATTATATCAAAGATTTTTTTAATCTTCATTATGAGTTCAAGTGATAATGATGATGACAATAACTTGTAACATTTATTAAGTGATTATTTTATGTCAGGTACTACACCAAACACAATTGATACAGTCAATCGTCAAAAAAACCTCATGAGGCTGTTAATATTTTCATTTTTATAAATGAGGAAACAAAAGTTCTCAAAGCTACTAAATGAATGCCAAGGTTAAACATAAGTCTAATTTCAACATACTTTTCCTACTTTCATATCAGTAAGGCATATTTTGTTCATATACTTCATGAAAACATATTGCAAAAGATTGAATACAAAGCAGGTATGAGAATCCAACTGTCTTCTATTAAGTCAGACATTAAACAGATTTGCAAGAATGTACATAATGCCAAAATGTTTAAGAACCACTACTCTAACACATGGAAACATGACAATTAGCCTATATTGACACCGCAGGAGCCCTGACAAATACAAAAGAGATACAGGCAGAATCCTTGCCAGTCCTCTGAATTACTCTGTTCAGGCTAGATGTAAAAATTGACCGGGATTTATAATATGAATCTATTATAAAAAATATCAAGAGTAAGGTGGTGTTTAAGTTTAATGAACTAAGAAAGTGGAAACAGCAAACGTTTCTGAAAAGGGAAGCCATATCAGTAGGAGTTTGTAAGAAATATTAGTCTGGAACACTGTATAGCATAATGTCTTTAAAATACCACATTACTTGGTTAGTTGTTCTGAAAAATTTATACTGTTTCACACCTTTACAAACTAGAGATAAGAAAAAAATCTTATAAAATATTAAGATAATTTTAAAAATATACTTACGTTTGGGCTCATCTGTTGTAACAGCCAAAATAAAATCATATGGAGTCATGAATAACTGCCCTTCACATTCTAGAGAAGCAAACAAACGAAATCGCCTTTCCCGAGATGTAGCACAGAGGTCTAACTCCTCAATGTCTGTTCTGCCAATAGCAACCTAAAGTTAAGAAAGCCAATAAATTTGAACTGTGTGAAATAACATCTCTTTTTAGAACATAAATGCTTTTAATTATGTTAAAAGTGAACAGAGTAAATGAAAATTTAAAAATATTGTCTTCTGTAGAACTTAATCATTTTTACAAATAAATTATCCACATGAATACAATGCATATTTAAAAGATTTTATACTAAATATTATTAAGGGCCTTAAGTTTTTTAAATGGCACTTTAAAGAATTTGTCATTTATTTCTTCAGTTTCAGCCTTGAAGAACATTAAATTTCTGAGCTAGCAGCTTCTTCAGAGAGAATACTAACACTTGCTGAATGCCTCCTGTGCACTCTCTATATAAGCTTATTTATTTAATTAGAAGTCTATTCACTATAGTTAATAATTTTCTAAAAGAAGAAAGTGAAACTCTGATAGTTCTGTTTATGGTTACCACTAAGGAAACCATTTAGGGGTAGTGTTCAGATTAGAACTAAAGTTGCTAGCTCTAGATCACTTATAGTATAGTTACCACTGATAGTTATTCTGAATTCTACCTCGGATTCAGATAAGCAGAATTAGTAGTGTGTATATGGGAGGAAGGAAGTCTCTTGTTTTCCTTAATTTCAAGACCTTGCCCTATAGATCAATAATTTTTCACTGTTATTTTTCTCTCTGAACGAACTATAATCTACTTTTTAATAAAACAATTTTTCCTGATTACGAGTGATACATAGTTACTATATACAATTTAAAAGACAGAATTTAAAAAATTTATAATGTTTTCTTTTTTGACAAAATATGGGTTTATACAATACTGTTCTGTAATCTGATCTTTTTTACTTATTAGTATATCAGGATCATTTTCCCAGGTCACTAAGTGGTCCAGTAGATCACATTTAATAACTGTATAATACTTCATGGTAAACATTTATATAATAACACAATAAATTCCAAATGGTTGAATATTTACATGATTCATAGTATTTTACTATCATAAAACAATATTATAATGACTAGCCTTGAAAATATTCAGAAGGAGATTCAAATTTTAATGTCAGGAAGAGAGATGAACATTCTAGTTTTACACAGCATATCTGAAAGATGGTAATAATCTTCCTAGAGCAGAGGATTTGCATTCATGGAAGAAGGTACATAAACTGATAATGATTTCAGAATGCCAGACTAAAGCACTGGAATTTAATCTGACAGAAAATAAATGGATTTAGGGAGATTCTTGGGTGGAGCAATGACACAAAGAATATGACACTTTAGAAAGATAAAGTAACCAGAGACAAGCTAGCACAACAGTATATTAATAACACAGTATATTAATAGCAGGTATTAGGAATTGTTTTGGCTCTGCCATGGGTGAGAAATGAGACAATGAACAACTTAATAACAATAATGGGCAATAATCTCCCTAAATACTCCTCAAGGATCAGTCTACCATTTTAAGTCCCCTCTACACATATATCCCAGGAGTTTCTTCTTCCTCCCAGAGCAGAGAAACCAATCTCATCTGTGACCACAGTTTACTTTCCTGCTTTCTTCATGCTAGGCCATTTCCTTAGGCCTCAGTGACCTCCAGTCAATCATGACTTTTCTCCAGTGTACTTCCTGGAGGACTACTCACTGGGAAGCTGTTTTTGCACCATAATCTGCAGCAATGCTTCAGTCTAACATCCTAAACCACATTTTTGCCTATAACACCTATGTCTGCTATGGACTAATAGGGACTTGATCTGTGACTTCTACTACCTGGTGGTGCCATTACTGCTCACTAGGTGCTGGTGTTTTCTCATCAAACTTTCCTTCCTTAACCACAGTCTACCAATTGTCCCAGCATGCCAAACCTGCTAGACTACTGAAGCTGGGAATTTGATCCACCTTCTATGAGCTAAAGTTCACAACTCCTCCCTCTCCTTAACTTCTACTAACAATCAATTAACAAAGCCTGTTATTCTCCCTCTAATTTCTCACATCCACCCACTGCTACTACCTTTGTTTAAGCACTTATTACTTCCCTAAAGTTTTACAGCAATGGCCTGTGATTTTTGCCTCTAAACCATCCTATACTGAGAGAGCTTAGAAGAAAACAGGCAGAACTATAGGACAGTTTGTATTCTTTAACTATCTGAGAATGGGTAACTGAAGAAATCTAGCGAGTTAAAGGTTTTCATTAAAACTCTACTCCCTAAGTTCTACCCATCGTCACTTTAGCAAAAGTACCCATCATTTTTGATAATAGCATTAGGTGGTGCCCACAGGTCTATTTAGCATAACCTTAAAAGAAGGTCTGGGGAGGAATTTGAAAATGGTTTGTTCCCCAGAGAAAAAAATATATCCTAAAAGAGAAGAATATGATTTATGTATGTAACCATTAAATTATGTATGTGCCATTAAATGCAATGTATGCCATTGGTTTTGATAATTATCTTCTACCTTAAATCAGGAATGGAGTTTACCTAGTCTCCTTTGTTCACTGAAAATCAATGAGTTTAGAGCTAGACTTGTCCTTAAAAGATCACTTGGTCCCCTTGTTTCTTAACATTTTTACCAGAACAGACCATAATTATAAGTCTCTAACAAAAATTAAAATGTGTTGGGCAAGTAGAAGCATAAATAGAAATCCCCCCCAAAAAAACTCAAAAGATATTAGACAAAATTCTATTATTTGCATTATTGTTGAACTACTTTTAGTTTCTACGATGAATATTTAACATCGACTAAAGAGCTATTGTGAATTTATTCATTCACTCAACATATACTTGGTGTTTGCGTGCTACTCTATACAAATGAATCAATTATAAAATAATTACTCAACTGGAAGATTAGGTAAAAATATGAATAAGTAAGCTTGGTTTAATCATGCCTCACTACTTTCAAATTTGTCCATAGCCCACATGATTCTTTCTCTATAACTTATAAATAGACTATTTTCTTATGATCTAAAGACACAGAGGAAGAATTTTTTTTTTACTGTGGTACAGTTCTAACCAAGTAAACTTTACAGTGTTCAGGAGGTAGACATGGAGCAGCAGTCCATGAAGTTGAGCTGAGGATACCTGATCTGATCTACGACAATCTCTGTGGAAAGGGAAAGCATCAGGCCAGTGCTTCTGAACTTTCTCAAGTGTGAAAATTTAAACCTTCTGAAGTTTTAATATTCACTGTTAAGAACGTTCAGGAACAAGAATCAATAAATAAGGGTGGAAACTGATATTCAAACCAGTTTACTAAACCTCCTGGTAGTCTAATGATCTCATAGTATATTAATATTCTAAGGCTTAAAAAATAAAAGCCAAATACGCACAGCCATTTCTCTCGAGCACAATGGCACATCTGTGGGTATAATCCTTATGTTACAAGGAGCAGGTTAAGGACACCTATACTCACTAGCTGATCTACTTTATTTAAGACCTTTTTTGCTTACCTAAACCCAATACATATTTTAAGTTGATTTCTGAAGTCTAGAATTAACCTAAACATCTTTCAGTAATATAAATTATCTCAGTAAATGATACTTTTTGGTCACAAATTGCCCATATAGTAAAAACTCATCAGTAAGTATAAAACCTATAGTGAATGAGAAAGCTAAACTGAAAGCCAAAAAACTAAATTATAACCAGGTAGTTGTTAAAACATTAATTGCTAAAATGAAAATCTTTGTTATTAATTCAATATTATTAAAGGCTTATTAAAAATAAGCCTTTCAAAACTGATAAAGTATAACTAGATCATTTGTGAACCACAGGGAAGAAACTGACAGGAGTTAGAGAAGTCATCTTCATTTCTATAGGTTGACAGTCAAATTAAAAAAAAAAAAAAAACTTACTTGGCAAGTTGAGGAGGTGACAGCCTTTAAATTATTAAGAAATATTAAAGAGAAAACCTTTAAGCTTATAATGGCTATAAAGAGAAGTAGTCTCTCTAAGAAGCTGGAGGGTAGCAGAAGCATAGATGGAGCTGAGGACTGGCTTAGCTTCTAAGAAATAATCTCTCCAAAGAAAACACAACACAAAGTTTCCACATTGCATCTTTTCTGGAAATGCCTCTTTAAAATGGCCTATTATAAGGTGAAATTCTTCCTCTGCATGTATTCCTGCCTTCCCTTTTTTGTTTTGTTTTGGTTTTGTTATCATCAGCAGAACCACTGAGGAAGCTCTTAAATGCAGGAAGACAGAAACATAATTTTTATTAGGCAATAAGTAGCACACCAAACCATGGAGTATAGCTTATTAATTATCGATGTTAAAAATTTGCTCTAATTAAAAATTCTTAGAGATTGAATATAATAAATATTATCTGTACCTTGAATTCATGTTTTCCCTGGTTTTTATAACCAATTTTGATTGTGAGAACTCTGATACTGAAAGTGTCCTTGACTTCCTGTCTACTGCTAGAACTTCATGAAACCTTGAAACTAAGCTAATCCTAATCAAAGTCTAGTCCTAACCTGTTGATAAAAACAAAAACGAATCTAATTTCATTCTGTGCCTGGGATGAGCTCAGGGAATTGTAATGCCTCTGAGCCATGGCCAGCTCCAGCAATATTTTAGGTCAACTTCAGTTTTCAGCTTAGCTTTTCGATTTCTCTAAAGTGAGCCTTGATATCTTTGCAACTATTTGCCAAGGAGATGAATCTTTGCTCCATATCACATGGTCTATGTGATTCTTCCACATACACTCTCAGGAAGGCTACCCATCAGAAAAATTCTGCTGCCACGTCCTCTCTACTGTATAAAATACTGCTCCAAATCAATCCTAATTAATCACATCCCTTGTAATAATATATCTTAGACTTTGACAATACATTGTCCCTGAGTCAACACTGTACCTTGGATACATCCTAGTTATTTTCTTTATATATCCCTATTATATCATTTGCTCTCCCTTCCCCATTCACACTGGGTTGCACTTACCTGTTCACATATCTGTCTCTGCTATTTAACCAGGAAATCCTTGAGAGGGGCAATATTTATTACTTTTATAAGAATTTAACTAGTTA